CACCAAGAGCTTGTAACACTCCAAAGAAAAAGGAAAAATTGAAATCGCATCATATGACACCTTTAATTTGTTTTCTGAAGATGAACGAAGGTCTTACAGATTTGGAACGACATGAGGGTGAGTAATTAATTACAGATTTTTCATTTTTGGGTGAACTATCCCTTTAAAGAAACTGTTTTCTATTTGAATATAGTTTAAAATGTATTTTATTACTGTGTACATTTATTTTAAATAGAATTATATTACATTATATTACAAATAATTCAAATAAAATCAACAAATACAAATTCTGTCAATTTTGATCAGATTTTGATCGGTCTGAACAAAAGTATACATTTCCTTTAAAAAAGGTCACACTTTATATTAAGTGGCCTTAACTACTATGCACTTACATCAATGTACTTATTGTGTTCAAGGCTGAGCCAGGAGTCAAAGGCGTAGATGGGTACGATGAAAAGGATGCGCACTATGTGCCTCTGCTCCTTGGGAGAGCTGTAGTAACGCAAATGCATGTAGATCTGCAAAAAATCAAATATAAACACATTGAAATACACTGACTGAGTTTCGATTCTCAGGCCCATCTGGTTAAGGTGTTGTTTACCTGGTGGCAGGTGAGTAGAAGTGCTGTCCACACAAAGAAGCCTGACACTGCCTGGGCTGTGGTTGTCATGAGGAAAATGGGCTGCTCTGGAGTGAGCAGAGGAGCTTCTGGTAACCAGGAGATGTTGGGCCCAGTAGGAGCCATTGTGGATAGTGAACCAGGAGCCATCCTGACAACTTCCTCCCCAAAATGATCGGACAATGGCACGTCACGTCTCAAAAGCTGTGGCGATAGAGATTGGATGTTAAAATCAGTGGGAATCAAACATGCTGAAGAAGGGTGTGTAAAGTAGAAAAGTGATGTACTGGAACAATATTGAGTTTAAAAATGCCATGAAAATGAATCAGAGGACAGGAAAGAGGAGTGTACAACAATATGACGTCACCATGAATCATTTCACAGTAATATGGTGCAAGATAATGTGGGCAAGCAAAGAAATGAAACTAAAAATCAGCCAGAGATTAAAGACGCAATATAACGGAACTAGAAACAGATCTTTTCTCGATATGGTGATGTAGCCTACATCCGAGTGAAATGGGTTATCGAAAAAAACAGTAGGGTGGGGACTTGGCTCTAACCATCATTTGTTGGTTGGACGGAGGCAAATCAGAATGTGAACTTGAGGTCAACTGTAAGAAATGGAAAGTGTTTAAGTGGACAAAACAATTGTAGAAGTCTGGCATGCGTCACTAGAGAGAAGTCTATGGTTTCAATGGAAGATTGAATTATAATATTTTGATTAAAAATTACAAGGTCAACTTTTCACGAAACATAAGAATGGATGATTCGTTCACCATGAAGTCAATAATATGCATTAGGGAATAGATAGGGTGAATTTTCATTTCATGCTTTAATGAAATGGCACGAACATTTTTATCTAACAATTTCCTATAATGATTTCCACTGTATGAAGACTAGTTGCACATCTGTTTCAGAATAACCCCTAAAATGCTTAATTAAAAAGTGTGGCAGTATTCAGACATGAAAAATGGTTTCACCACTATACATAAGAACTTAGTGTAACCTAAAATAAACAAATTAGGTTTGCAGAAAGTGGGTTTAATTTTTGTATTTACAAATTATGAAGAACAGGAAATTGTGTTTATCCATATGTGTGTGTATCTCACATCTTAGTAAATGTGGCTATCTTCATTGTTTACACCAACTTAAAGCTAACTTCGTAATTTTTTTTTTATCTGATACTTTATTGGTTTGTCATATTTACTCACTCTAATGTTGTTCAAACCTGTGACGTTCTTTACTTTTGTGTTTTCTGGAACACAAAAGTAGTTGTCATAACATTCCGAGTTTATCGTGTTCATTGTATTGTTGAAGAAAAGACAATGAAAGCCAACACTGACTGGTGAGAAAAAAAGAAATTTCTTTATTTACAAGAGTAAATTACACAATTTTAATTATTGGGTAAACCGTAAATCACATGTTAAATGCATGCAGAGTTTACTTTTTGTGTTATATGTTGACCTTATTTGGAAGAGCATCGTAAATTTAGTTGAGTCACATAACGTTAGCTGAAGTTCGCCCTAAAATTAGTAAGGAAAAGTATCTACAAACTAGAAAAACGGGCAACTTACCAATAACATAAACGCAGATTTAAAACCATTCGTCGTGCACAAAGGAAAACAAATGAGAAGCAATTCGGCCTTAATTCTTCAAAGCCATCGCTGCTGCCCGTCAATCCATGTTTATATTCCAGCGCCGTTGATCTCTGCTGGAAAATCTGCGCTCCGTCCTTTTTTATTTGTTCCCATGTAGTAATTCACCACGTCTTTGGACCGTTTACAGTGCATTCGCGACTGTTCTAAATGATTTTACCTACAATCGTAGTTGGATTGCCGTTGAAAGGCAGTTCATTCCTTCCCAACTCCCCTTGCTGTTCAATAAAATCTCTTGCGGATTAGTTTAACGGGGATAAAAGTGGAAAGCGGCGGTGAAGTCTGCTACAACAACACGCGGCATTTTTTCTTTTTTTCTAAAATGGACTGTAGCTTTAGAAACTTCAAAATAAAAGTCATTGCTCAGTGACGTAATTTGCAGTAAATAATGCATTTTTAAGAATTACGTAATACTGTTTATTGTGGACCAATGTATTTAGAAATATAAATTGGAATAAAACTTGGCGTATTTGTGAAATATGCTGTTTAAATAATAAAGTAAAAGAGGTTACATTTAAAATTTTACATGGTATATATCTAGCTAAATGTGTACTAGAGAGATTTAATTTGGATATTGATTATTCCTGTGATTTTTGTTCAATGGAAAGGGAGTCTTTTGTCCATCGGTTTTGTAATTGTGTATACACACGGTTTTTCTGGGTGGATATGGTACACTTCATTAGAAGGAAAACAAATATTATATTATATTCAAGTTAAATAATTTTGATTTGTATTATTCCAACGAAAGTAATAATACTAATTTTACTTTACTTGTACAGTTATTTTGGGAAATTTTCACATACATAAGAAGAAATGGTCAGGATCCAAGCCAAATTTCATTCATTTTCTTCAGGAAACAAAAGGACTACTGCACCAGTTTGGACATTGGAACATTGTTAATAAAAAAGCAAAGAAGACTTGTAATATTTATCACGAATATACAATTTTTGAATAATGAATCAATTGTTTATACACTCTGGCATGTTTTATGTACATTTTTGTATACTGTTGTATATTTTGTTCTGGTCAATAAAAAAATAAAGAATTATGTAATACTGAACGTCGTTTGCTAGAATTTTACAGATAAATAAAAATAAATACTTCGCATTGTTTAATAAATAGTACTTACTCATTGAATCCAAATTTATTCCCAAATGAATGAGCTCATGTACATTATGCCTTGGATAAAACATGCATATGTATGTGTTCGTTTTACTTTAACTTCGTTTCATACTTTAATTTAGTGCAATAACACTTTGAAATATAGTTTTATAATGTGAATCAATTCAGTTACTTATTCAAAATGTGTCGGTTTCTCCACCTTTCACACGTTTACATACATATAAAGTGTTACCACTTTTTTGTTTACGTGTATTTTGATCTTGTTTTAGAAGACAACCAACGCAATTTTAATAATCCATTAATAATCCTTTCAGAGGGGTAAACTGGAACAGCTCTCGTTACTTTTTACACGAGCTTTTTTAAAGAAGTGAAATAAATTCACAAGGTTCAGCAAGCTGAAACAGTCATACTTTTGATATGTGTGTTTATTTATAAATGAGGTTGTCATGGCTAATGTCAACGCAGGAGTCTTCATATCAAATTACACCACATTGTTCAGCTGTATAATTGTAAGAGTGGAATTCAGGCATTTAATAATGCTCAAATTGATCTTTAGGTTAGTTCACTACAGCCCATATTTAAATCAATATCTCCAACTGTCATCTGTTCAATGTACAATCTTGACACATCCATTCAGTGATGTCTACAGCTCAAACACCAGTTTGACTGGAAACAACATTCTTGGAAATTCTTAACTTTTGCATATTTAATACTTAACATGGAAAAGATGGTTCCACAAAACCTCATACATCAGTAAGGTGTCAACATACAACACTTTTTGTGCAAGGGATACATTTGTTACACTCTATCAATATTCAATTTTAACTTTACAGTCCAACAAGCAAGTCCTTTTTTTCCCGGCATTTCAGACAAAACAGAGAACAACCAGAACCTTCATCAGGTCGCAGGTAAAAATTCTCTTATCCACTTCCACCGTTTGAGTCTTGTGATCCTTGTTAAACTCTATCTATCCACTGTCCACATGCGTCTGTATCATCGATGTCTCATTCAAACAGCAACCACCAGCAGTGCGTGAGGACGGGGGAGCACTTTGTCATTACAAAAATGTGGTTCCTTTCTTTCTGCTTCTTGCCTCTGACGCACTCCCGTTTTACATAGAAAGATGAATATAAATACTTTAGGGGAGTTGTCTGTTGTAATCCTGCAAAATGAAGTTAATTTTATTAGAATTTCGGGAAAAAAATGACTTTTGAAATACTGATCCCAGTATAGTGGTTGAGTCAATGACAAATAAGCAGAAAAATTTGGAGATTTTTAAAATGTTTTTGAAAGAAGCCTATTTATTTGATCAAAAACACAGTAATATTGTGAAATATTATTTAAAATAACATTTCTGTTTTAATATTTTGGAATAATTTAATATTTTAAATATTATTTAATATTTTAAAATGTTTTTTTATTTTTAATGTTAATTATTAAAAAAAAAAATAAAAATAAAAAGATTTTAAAATGTAATTTATTCCTGGCAAAGCTTAATTTTCAGTAACCATTACTCTAGTCTTCAGTGTCACATGATCCTTCAGAAATTGTTATAATGCTGATTTAATGCTCAAAAAACATTTCTTATCATTATCAATGTTGAAGACGGTTGTGCTTCTTGATATTTTGTGTAAACTGTGACATTTTTTTTAATTCTTTGAATAGCAAGGTCAAGTTCAGAACAGAATTTAAAACAAATCTTTTGTAACATTATAAATGTCTTTACTGTCACTTTTGATCCTTACTGAATGTTTAATGAATTATTAATTTATAAATATTACAGTTTTTAGGGGGTTATATCACTTCCTATATCACCACCTTAACTAATCATCCCTAACCCTAACCTAACCGTCACATAAAAGGTCTCGTTGATATTAGACATATTGTACTTAGCAAATAATATGAGGATCTGCAGGTGTCCTTTCTCTGATGTCGTTTCCTGTTTTGTCCCTCAAGTTTCTGCATGTTGGTTGCACCATATCACTTTGATCTGGTAGACAATTTTTTAATACGTATATAATTATATTATAACTGCTTCACAACTATTTTTCTAAGAAATAATTAGAGAATAGGTCAAAACACTTTTTACCTTTTTTCTTTGCTATGATATCAGGACAGTTGTATTTCCCTGACATTTATGACTTCATATCCCCCAAAAATATCCAAATGATTTTTAATTCAGAAATTAAAAACATGCTCATCATAGAAGAGGTGTATTGTGTGTATGAAAAGCCATTATGTGTATGAGTTGCAGTTCAATGCATTTTTTAATAAATGAAAAAATCCAGACCAAAAAACAAATCACTAACCTCCTAAAAGCAGTAAATGACAGAGAACTTGCAGAGCTCATTTCCCCATGTGTTCGAATGGAACGCTGACCTGTGTGAGAGAGACAGAGACAGGTCAGAACAAAAACAAATATCAGGGAATTAAATGGATAGTTCACCCAAAAATGAAAATTTGATATTTATCTGCTTACCCCCAGGGCATCCAAGATGTAGGTGACTTTGTTTCTTCAGTAGAACACAAACGAAGATTTTTAAGTCAAACCGTTGCAGTCTGTCAGTCATATAATGGAAGTGAATGGGAATCAATGGGTTTTGAGAGTCAAAAAAACATACACAAACAAAACCAAATTAAACCCAAGAACCAGTACGTGAACGGAAACCTGTGGGGGGGTGATGCGAATCTGATCGTGACGGAGAGGGAGGTCAGGGGAGGCATTGGCAGGAGCGCCGCGGTGCAGCCTTAAACACACTCTCCTTTCCCGCTCAGCTCCTCGGCCTGCTCTTGGAGATGCGTTCCCTGAGAGACAGAACAACAGGTACGTTTTAAGTGCTGATTTCAATAACCAACAGCACAGAAGGTCAGGCGGATGCGCTTTCATAAGGAAGAGAAACCACATACTTTACAAATAACCTGCTCATAAATAGAACAGACATCAATAACACCTCCGGTCATCCTCAGACTCACCAGACTGTGGCACACGGGAGGCAGGTGTTGAGCTGGCGGGGTCTGGGCCGTTGCGCACCCTGTTAGGGGCCGGGAGGTTGGGGCCAGAAGGCACAGCATGAGCCGCAGAACCCGGCGGTCCACCTCCGGTCCTCTCATCCCTCTCCTCTCCCTCTCCCCTCTGCTCCTTCTCTTTATCTTCTGCTGTCCTGCTGGAGCCCTGACACAGTCAGAAAAGCCCACAAGGTGAGCAATATAATGCACATTTGAACTGCACCACAAAAAAATAATGCGAAATGTTTAAAGAACATACAAATTTCAGCATGTTCCAGTCAAACACATAGTCGTATGAAAATCCCTGTCTGTGAAAAAGATTCCTGAACAGCTGTCTCAGGTACGAGTAGTCAGGTTTGTCATCAAACCGGAGTGAGCGGCACAAGTTCATGTAGGTTGAAAATTCAGCTAGAGATGTGTTAAAAAAAGATAACAGAGTTAAATGAGAAATTTAATTTTACATGATTTTCCAGCTGTTCAAATTGCATCTACTCACATGGATAGCCCTTGCAAAGAACCTCAATGGGGGTTGACATCTTTTTCTCACTGATTCGCTCATACTTTTGTCTTTTAGTAGCTGCTTTGAGGCCTTGCCAGGGCAGAGAACCCAAGTTAAAGTACATAAGCACATAGCCAAGGGACTCAAGATCATCCCGTCGAGATTGCTCTGTGGAAACAAAAGGTAAACATAGAATAACCCAAAATAAAGAGTCCAACAGAATGCATTTCAGGGGCCCTCTGGTGCCCTTACCAATGCCCAAATGAGTGTTAATGGAGGCATAGCGGGCAGTGCCAGTCAAGTTCTTGTTCTCACGATACGGGATGTGCTGATGTGTGCGGGCGTCACGATACTTTTTGGCCAAGCCGAAGTCTATGATGTAGACCAGGTTTCCCTTCTTGCCAAGCCCCATCAGGAAATTATCAGGTTTAATGTCTCTGTGAATGAAGTTCTTGGAGTGGATGTACTCGATTCTGCTGATCTGAAAAAAATCTACATGAAACAAACTGAAAACAGTTGTCCCTATATATAAAATCTTTATCTATTTTAAATCTATATATGTATTTTAATTTATTTTTCTAGGCTAAAATAATGTTTTAGCACTACAAATTAGGAGGTTTTATGTAGTTCTTCCTCTGAACATTCCCTAACATTACAAAAATTAAGCTTAAATTCT